CAAAGTAGTGAGAAAGACTTGGAAATGTTGCCTATAACTGTATCACAGGATGAATTTTTTTTTTTTTTTGAGATGGAGTCTCATTCTGTTATTCAGGCTGGAGTGCAGTGGCACGAACTTGGCTCACTGCAACCAACCTCCACCTCCTAGGTTCAGTTCTCCTGCTTCAGCCTCCTGAGTAGCTAGGATTACAGGTGCACACCACCACACCCAGATAATTTTTGTATTTTTCGTGGAGACAGGGTTTCACTGTGTTGGCCAGGCTGGTATCAAACTTCTGACCTCGTGATCTGCCCACCTTGGCCTCCCAAAATGCTAGGATTACAGACAGGAGCCACTGTGCCTGGCCTGGAAAATTTCTAATGGAGACAAAATTGCAAGTTTCATTAATATTCCTGTGGTTTGTTGCCTATGTTCATAACTGGAGGGAATTTTACATTTTAGGTAGAGACTAGGGAAAATAAAGATGTAAAAAAATCAAATTCTTAGATCCCCCTGAATTCTACCCATAGATTTAAGTTTAAAAACACCTGGTCGGCCGGGCGCAGTGGCTCAAGCCTGTAATCCCAGCACTTTGGGAGGCTGAGGTGGGTGGATCACAAGGTCAAGAGATCGAGACCATCCTGGTCAACATGGTGAAACCCCGTCTCTACTAAAAATACAAAAAATAAGCTGGGCACGGTGGCGCATGCCTGTAATCCCAGCTACTCAGGAGGCTGAGGCAGGAGAATTGCCTGAACCCAGGAGGCGGAGGTTGCGGTGAGCCGAGATCGCACCATTGCACTCCAGCCTGGGTAACAAGAGCAAAACTCCGTCTCAAAAAAAAAAAAAAAAGAACACCTGGTCTAAAAATTTCCAAAAGAGATTGGGAAGAGAACCCATAGGGGACAATATGAAGAAGGGGCTGTTATGGAGCCATCTGTAATTGTACAGTTATACTATATTCCTCCCTTCATATGTTTGGTTTATCAGGGCTTCTTGTGTCTCCTCCAGTCTTTCCTCATATACCTCTTATATCAAAATAGAATTAAAACTAGCCAGCTCTTTATTTGTTGGCAGCTGCTGTGTTTTGGCATTGTTTTATCAGAGGGATGTTTTTGTTTGTTTGTTGGATTGTTTTTTAAATATATCCAATGATTGTAGCAGAAACTACAGATTATCTGGGATTGTTTATCCCTGCTATGTTTAGCTTCTATTAACATGGATAATTGGGATTTAAATGTGAATAGAATTAAGATATCCAGCTTCAACCTCTGTCTATTACCTTCAAAGGTCTTGAGGTAGATAAAATAATCCCCTTCCAACTTGGAAGTCTGTCTCCCCTTGGCTTCCTGAACGCTGCTTTCATTTAGACCCCTCTCAGCTTCTCTAATGGTCTCTTTGGAATCGTCTCATCTGTTTCACACTCAACTGCCAGACAAATGTAGGCATTTCCCCCACATTAGGCTGTAGACTGGTTTTCTTGTAATCTTTTCTTCTTTGATACTCTCTCCCAATCCCCAATTTGCGTTCTTTCCCATGTTCCTTGTCAGTTTTAATGGATCCCAGCTCCCCTCCTCCCAGTTGAGATTTTAACAGCACACAACAGCTTATACTATAGTAGACACTTATGGTAGGCACTGGGCACACAATTCTGGACCAATGAAACAGGTTCCTGCCCTCACACATCCTATAATCTATCAAGGAAGGCCTTGATCAAGTAATTTCAAGAGTGATGTGTAGGATGAAAGGAAGGAGCAGGTCACTGCAGAAGTTGGTAATAAGGAGAGCTAGCCTAGTTTGAGAGTATATGGAAGCCAATCAGGAGAAGTGAAGTTTCAGTTGGAAATTTAAAGGTTAACTGGGTGATGGCTCAATAACCAGTGTAGGAATTGGGATCAGGACAATGCACGTGGAATGTGAAAGTCTAAAAGCAATAGCAGGGAAGGAAGATGTCAAATATGGCTGTGGTAGGAAATCCACAAAGGGCATTTGAATCTAGTGAAGCTGCAGAGAGGCAGGCCACATTGGTAAACTCTTGTCAACAGGGCCAGTCAGGGGCTGGGCGCGGTGGCTCACGCCTGTAATCCCAGCACTTTGGGAGGCTGAGGCAGGTGGATCATGAGGTCAAGAGATCAAGACCATCCTGGTCAACACGGTGAAACCCCATCTCTACTGAAAATACAAAAAATTAGCTGGGCACGGTGGCGCATGCCTGTAATCTCAGCTACTCAGGAGGCTGAGGCAGGAGAATTGCCTGAACCCAGGAGGCGGAGGTTGCGGTGAGCCGAGATCGCGCCATTGCACTCCAGCCTGGATAACAAGAGCGAAACTCCGCCTCAAAAAAAAAAAAAAAAAAAAAAAAAAAAACAGGGCGAGTCAAGGGCATCATCCTGAAGACAGTCGGGAAGTCATTAGGCAGCAGGCAGAGTGTCCGGATTCACTCTAATTTTTAAAAGATTAATCCAATTTCAGTAGGGAAAATGGTTTGGAGAGAGGCAGGAACCCATATGAGGAGACCACTGGAGCTGATTATAGAGCCCAGTTAGGAGACAGTTTGTTGGCTTTGCAAGAAAATCTAAGCCCTCATTGTTTCTGCTCTACCTGCCCCTCATACCTTTAAGATTTGGTCTCTAAAATAATTGGGCTTTAAATGTGAATAGAATTAAGATATCCAGCTTCAGCCTCTGTCTATTGCCTTCAAAGGTCTTGAGGCAGATAAATGGAAAAGCTGCATGCTGCTTTTCATTCTCATTGACCAAATTCAAGCTCCTTTTCCACCCCCCTGCCCACCACGGGCTATTCCAACAGCTTTACTCTCTACTGCCTTATCTCCCATTTCTCCTTTCTCCATGCACGGTGCTGTCAGCGTTAGCCCCCTGTAACACATGTGGTTGCTTCCAAATGCATCAAAATTAAGTCCAAACTCTTCTTCCTTGTTCACAGTCTCTGCAGTGTGGTCCCTACAGATGCTGCTGGCTTTCTCCACCATCACGAGCTCCTACCGTACCTTTCCTACTTCATGCTCCCCTTGGCTCACTAATTCACAGATATTCAGACAGGCTATGTTTTACGAACTCCCCCCTCCCTCCTAGAATATCTTTCTCTTCCAACTCACTCAAAAAATTTGCATCTTTGAAGACTAATTTCAAGCCCAGCTTCTTCCAGATTTCAAGCCCAGCTTCCTCCTGGATGTTCCCAATCAGAATTAATTTTTCCTTCCTGCCCTTGTTCCAATGATTCTTTAAGTGATGTGTTTTCCCTCGGATTAAGCTTCTTACCCTTGTTTCATCATTTACTAGAGTTTACCTCCTATTTGAGTCAGTATGTATGAGATAGGCTTTTCCAATAAATTATAAGCTCTTGGGGGCTAGGGAGATTTGTGTTAGTTATTTCTATGTTGCACATAGTGATTTGCCTACCCTGTGCTTATAAAGGCTCAACAAATGTTAGACAGGTTTTTGGGTGGTGGTAGGCTGATTGAACCCCAAAATAGCAAATTTATCTGAGCTATATCCAGAGCTCATTCTGGTTATGATATTCTAGGTATGCACAAGAACATTTTGCTAGCAGTATTGTTTTTGTTTCAAAAGCTGGCTAATCACAACAAGTCTCAATAAGAGTAACAATTAAGTATTTTATTGAGAACTGCTGTATTCTATGTTGAAAGCGGAAATTTATTCTATAAGTATTTCATGAGCCCTAATTATGTCTCTGGCTCTGGGCATATGACTATGAACAAAACAAATTTGTTTTCTGGATATTTTTGTAAGGGCTTGAGGTTTTCTCCATCAAGATTACAGGAGGCCAGGTACAGTGGCTCACACCTGTAATCCCAGCACTTTGGGAGGCCAACAGGGCAAATCACGAGAAGTCAGAAGCTCTAGACCAGCCTGTCCAACATGGTGAAATCCTGTCTCTTTGAAAAATACAAAAAAAAGTTAGCGAGGCATGGTGGTGGGTGCCTGTAATCCTAGCTACTTGGGAGGTTGAGTCAGGAGAACTGTGTGAACTCAGGAGGTAGAGGTTGCAGTGAGCCAAGATTGCACCATTGTACTCCCGCCTGGGTGACAGAGCAAGACCCTATCTCAAAAAAAAGAATTGCAGGAGAATATACATGAATAAATCAAGCTTAATAAAGCTGGGAAAAAAAAGTTCATTCCTTTTGTCAGAAGTTATCTGTCACCTAACTCAGAAGTGAAAAAAATGCAGCCAAGAAAAGGTATGACAACACAAAGGATATATGGCCAATATAACAAAACGAGAAAAACAAACAGAATATTGCTAATTGCAGCTTATTTAGGGCTTCATTATACCATAATTTTATCCTTTTCTTGTGTCTGATTTTAATAAAGCCCCACAACAAGCAGGTGCTATAATTTTCTTCTCAGTGTCTCTTTACACCTTAGACTAGGAAGCGTCAGTGTCTCTTTACACCTTAGACTACGAAGCATCAGTGTCTCTTTACACCTTAGACACTAGGAAGCATCAGTGTCTCTTTACACCTTAGACTAGGAAGCGTCAGTGGACACTCAGCAATAGTAACTGCATTTATTGACTTCCAGTATCCACCCTGCATTGTCTTAGAAACTGGAGATATGTAAAACCCAATTTACAGTCTCAGATACCTCACAGAGTAGGGTCTTATGTAGGAATTGAATTGCTTCCAGGAAAAAAAATAAAGGAATATATTACTAGACGAGGATGCTTCTGTAGGAAGTTCACAATTTTTTTTCCAGGCTAGATTGAAAATGGACATCAGAGGCATACTCTGTGATTTTCTGAAATATAAATGCAGTGCTCACTATGAAAAAATAGGACATAAACTCTCAGAACACAATAGATTGGTGGAGGTTAAATGTAAGAGGACTTTTGTGGGAAAAAATGCAAATTATGAGAAGAGAATACATTCCAAATGAGTAAAGAGTATTTTTTAGATGTCTGCTCTGTGCATGTATAAAGATCTGTGGCTTCAAATTTGACTAGATTTTGTTTGTTTGTTTTTCAAAATCTTTTCTAAGAATTGCCCTGGTGGAAAATATTCCTGAAGGCCTTAACTATTCAGAAAATGCACCATTTCACTTATCACTTTTCCAAGGCTGGATGAATTTACTCAACATGGCCAAAAAGTCTGTTGACATAGTGTCTTCCCATTGGGATCTCAACCACACTCATCCATCAGCATGTCAGGTAAGCTGCATCTTCTGTGTGTGTGATAATTTTACTTATGTGCATTTTACACTCTTTGGTATTCTGGTCCTCCACTCCTCAAACTCAAGCTCATTTCTTTTAGTCTACCCACACCCCGAGTACATGTACATCATTGCATTTATGTGGATGTGCTGTTGTTAATTATATGTCGCTCAGCTCCTACTAGAATGCCAGGTTTGCAGGGACAAAATCGTGTTTCATCTTTGCCTACAATCGGCTCTTTATTCAGAATTGCTGTGTTGTACAACTTCAGGGGGTGCTATTTACATGATAATCTGCCAATGGCATGGTCCAGAATTCTGCTCTGCATAATCTGCTCGTTTACAGTTCTAATTCTGTACCTGCTTGCTGAGGCATTTATTTGGTTAGTTTGTATTATAATTTACCTTTCGACTTATAATTCACCCACAGCCAAATGTTTTTATAATAGAGTGAAATTTCCCAGGATAGTTATTTTTTCTCAACTGTCATATCTGGGTGAATGGAAAAAAGAAATATGCTTATTTCTTTAAAAAAAAAATAAGACTTAGGAGAACTACCTCTAGCAAACTGACTTAATGATCTAAATAATTTCTGAATAAAAGTTCTAGGTGTAAGAAAATGGTGCTGATGATTTTAGTATATTTTTCTTTATATTGGTACAACCTTGATAGTTTACATTAAGCTACCCTATCTAAATGTATAGCCATTGGCCTACACTTTCATGTCATATATAAGTCGAGGGTAAAATAAGTTTTGCCTCCTTTTATACAAAATATACTGGCATTAAGCTTATAATCATGATCTCACTGGTACTTTGAAAGCTATTGAATCTATTCAGTTACACTATGTTAAAGTCAAAAGTTGCTGGAAAATAAAAGCAAACAGAAAACACAGAGGCCATAACTAATGAAGAATGGAATCAATTTGCTAACCGTATTCTGCACTTCTCCATCCCTGCTGAGGTTTAAATAAGTGTTTCAGGATTTGTCACTGCATAGTATCTCCTAAAATATAGTGGTTTAGAAGCAGTATTTATTTATTCCTGATTCTGGGCAGGGTTTGGCAGAGAGGACTCATCTCTGATCCACATGGTGTTGGCTGGGTGGCTTAGCTGGGGATCGGGAAGCCTGGACGGCTTTCCTCACGTGTCTGGTATCTCAGCTGGAGTGACTGGAACATCTGCGATGGCTGCAGTCTGTCTGCACATTCTCTCATCATTCAGTAAACAATCCTTAATATGGTGGTTGGATTCTTTACATGGTGATTGGATCCTCAGAAGGCAGAGGGCTCTGGAAGCCTAGAATGTTGCTCCCAGTCTATTCCATTAGTACAAGCACATCTCAAGTCCAGGATGGGAGGAGCAACATCCAAGTGCAGGAATGAGGATGATTGTGGCCATCTTTGAAAATAACATACCACAGCCCACTCTCTGGCTGTAGCAATTCGTATATCTTCTACATGTAAAACACATTCACCTCATTCCTCGAAATGTGAATTCTACTACATCAAGGGCTCTGGAGGGAAGCCAGAGATCGCCTCCAATACCCCGTCCACTCTTTGGATGGATCTACAAATCAAACTGATACCAGGCAGATTGACAGGAGTAAATTTTATTAGTTTTACTCGTACATGTGGATCTTCACAAGAGAGTGAAGTCCAAAGAAGTGGCCAACGTAAGATGTTTTTATACTTTTTAGACAAAGAACAATAAATTTGAGAAGAAATGACAAGACTAAGGGGGTCTGTGTGGGGGTAACAAATTTCTAGGGGAGCCACTAGGAGATACAGAGGAGGCATAAAACTGTGGGGGTAGGGTCACTTCATTAAGTGTATCCATTTGGGTCCATGGCAGCCCCAGTTTTCAGTTTCTGGTGATAAGGGCTATTTTCTCGCCCTGGTACAGGGAGGATGTGCTTCTCAGAAGAATCTTTATGGTTTGCTGCATACAGGAAGAGACAGGTCAGCTATCCTTTACTGAACTACAGTTGTCCCAGTGTTTTCCACTTGAAATCATCATCGGTATACCAATCTGACATATTTTGAGATGCCATATCCTTCAATCCCTCAGCTCAAAATCCAGAATCTCTTTATTTACATCAGGTCTGGATCTGAGTGAAGCCCCTCATGTGGACTTCTCTTGATTTAGAAACATGTGAACTAAAAAGAATAAGTTATATGCCCCCCAACACAGACGCTGAATGTAAAATGCTAAGACAGGGGTAAGGTAACTAGAGATACTTTGGTTCAAAGGTGGCAAATGGAGAGTAGAAGATTGCCTCCTGGAGTGAGTGAGCCCGAGCAGGTAAGGCTCTAGACTGACTAGCTTGCCTATGAACGCCTGGCTGAGGCATTTTTATCTCTAAGCATTGGCTAGCCCTCGGAGGGGCAGTCTCTTCCCAGCCAGAAAGGTGTGTGTGTGTGTATGTGTGTGTGTGTGTGTGTGTGCGCGCGCGCGCGTGTGTACATTTTTAATTGATGCATAATAGATATACATCATTATGGGATACATGTAATAATTCATTATTATAGTTTGTAAAGATCCAATCAGTGTACTTTGGGAATCGATCACCTTAAACATTGGTCTTTTCTTTAGGCTAGAACCATTCATATTCTTCCCTTCTTTTTTATTTTTATTTTTGGAGACAGAGTCTCACTTTGTCACCCAGGTTGGAGTGTAGTGGTGCGATCTCGGCTCACTGCAACCTCTACCTCCTGGGTTCAAATGATTCTCCTGCCTCAGGCTCCCAAGTAGCTGGAATTATGGGTTCATGCCACCATGCTCAACTAAGTTTTCATATTTTTAGTAGAGATGAGGTTTCACCTTGTTGGCCAGGCTGGTCTCGAACTCCTGACCTCAAGTGATCCACCCACCTTGGCCTCCCAAAGCGCTGGGATTACAGGCATGAGCCAATGTGCCCAGCCCCCTTCTACTAATTTTGAAATGGACGGTAGATTATTGTAAATTATATTCACCCTACTGATCTATCTAGTGCTAGGTCTTATTTTTCCTACCAAACTGTATGTTTGTGTCTGTGAATCAAGTACTCTTCATCCACCTCCCACACTTCCCAGCCCAGAAAGGTTTTATAAAATGTCAGAATGTCATTATACAGAAAGTTACATGCAATACAGAGCCTTTTTGTTTGGCTAAGAAGGTCCATTGACACCACCACCTGAAGTCATTTCTTACTTCAAGAATGTTGTAGTGAGTGGAGACACCAACCTTGATTCTCTACATTTTATCTAAATTTTGCAGGAAAACTAAACAATTCCTTCTTGAGTTTATCTCGTTCTGTGTAACCCTTATTAAATCTGCAAAAACTGATAATCTGCCTGAGGAATTTCAGCTGGCTTCACAAGTCCATTAGTTATATTTTCTATCTTCTACTTGATAGCAGGTGACACTATTGCAAGCACTCTGCCATTACATAACACAGACAGCCCTTTCTAAAGACTTCAAAAGCAATTTCCTTACTGTTCTTCCAGCCTTGACTAATAGGAGTACAGGCCAACCTCTACCATGACCCAGTCCCACATGGCTTTATTTTTTTACTTAATTATTTTTTTGAGATGGAGTTTTGCTCTATGTCATCGAGGCTGGAGTGCAATGGTGTGATCTTGGCTCACTGCAACCTCTATCTCCCGGGTTCAAGTGATTCCCTGCCTCAGCCTCCTGAATAGCTGGGATTGCAGGAACTTCCCACCACATCTGGCTAATTTTTGTATTTTTCGAAGAGATGGGGTTTCACCATGTTGACCAGGTTGGTCTTGAACTCCTGACGTCAAGTGATCCACCTGCCGTGGTCTCCCATATAACTTCAGGTTTTTATATAGTAGTTTCTGTTTCAGTTACCTATGCCATGTAACAAACAACTACAAACCATATTCTTCATTGTTTCCTACAATTCTGCGGGTTGGCTGCACTATCCTTTTGCACCAAGAGTGCTGGCTGGAATCACTCATGCAGCTGCACGTAGGAGCTGGACTGTCTGAAGGCTGGCCAGGTCTCAGGATACCCAGGTGGACTCTCGTAATTCAGTAATTTAACCCGAGATATATATAGGGCAGCTGGGTTCCAACAGGATGAAAATATAAACTATAAGACCTCTTAATGCCTGGATTCCTGGAACATTTGCCAAATTGTATTAATCAAAGCAAGGCACAAGGCCGGTCCTCAGGGGAGGGGCAGTCGCCCCCAGGAGTAGCATGCATGGGAGGAATTGTTGATAGCTGACGCTGGAAACAATCTACTGGAGGTGATTTGGAAGTGTGAGCAAGGGATAGTTCAAGTCGTCTTACCTTAATCCTAGGAAGGCTGGTACATAGCCACTGAATGCAGCAGGAACTGCAAGCTTAGTTTGATTTGGTAAACCATGCTGTGTGCCCTGACCAACACAGGCAGCCGTGCTGTGTGAGCACGGGCTGCTAACAGCTCCTTTCCACCTCATGTGCGCCACTGAAGAGCCAGGTAAATTAAACACACAGTAGGAAGATTCGCATGTACACTTGGATTGACGACCTGATTATCTCTTTTCTGCTGTGCTGTGCCTTGGGAATGCTGGCTTTTTCTCTTCAACTACAAAGTTGTCTTTCCTGAGTGGCTTTCTTTTTCCCCTATGCTTTACCATTTCTCTCTGACTCTACCCTAAATCCTGGTTGGCTTTCAGTATTCCTATAATCAATCTAGATTGGAGCTGATTGGGCTGGGACGTCCTAGGTAATGTGCAGCATTCCCCAGGGGTGCTCAATAAGTCTGTTTGCAGGACTCAAGGGATTTGGGGGGCTGAGGCAGTAATGGGGGGCACCCTGTGGTTTGGTCAGCACTGAGGATTGGTGTGAGGTGGTTCATACAACTGGAGCAGAGGCTATACAGGCAAAATTCACATTCCCTAGGAGGGTGACTTAGCCTCCCGTCTTTAAAAGGGGCATGATCTTCCAATGCAGTCTGAGGATTTCTGGGCCTTCCCAGCTTTTAATCTGACCTTTCTTCCTAGTCC